GGTACTCTTTTTTTTTTTTTTTTAAATTCATGAGAGGCACAGAGAATCAGAGAGGCAGAGACACAGGCAGAGGGAGAAGCAGGCTCTGTGCAGGAAGCCTGACGTGGAACTCGATCCTGGGACTCCAGGATTACGCCCTGGGCCGAAGGCAGGCATTAAACCACTGAGCCACCCAGGGATCCCACACTGGGTACTCTATCTCCAGTACAGTGTTGAACAAGAGTGGTCAGAAAGGACATCCTTGATTTTTTTTTCATGATCTCAGTGGAAACGTGCCCAGTTTTTACACCAAGTGTAATGTTAAGTGTAGGTTGTTAAAAGATGTCTTTTACTGAGGTGTTCCCTTCTATTTCTACCTTTCTAGGAGTTTTTTTGTTTTGTTTTGTTTTAATTTTTTTAATTTTTTTTTAAATTTTTATTTACTTATGATAGTCAGAGAGAGAGGGAGAGAGAGAGAGAGAGAGAGAGAGAGAGAGGCAGAGACACAGGCAGAGGGAGAAGCAGGCTCCATGCACCGGGAGCCCGATGTGGGATTCGATCCCGGGTCTCCAGGATCGCGCCCTAGGCCAAATGCAGGCGCCAAACCGCTGCGCCACCCAGGGATCCCTTTGTTTTGTTTTAAACATGTATGGGTATTGCATTTTTTCACAGGCTTTTCCTGTATCTACTGGGATGATAATCTGCTCTTAAAAATATTTTGTTAATATGGTGAACTACATTCACTATTTTCTTCCTTCAACTTAATTTAGGTTTAATTTGTTCGTCTAACTTTTTAAAGAGTAAGAATAAAGTAATTGGTTTAAACCTTTCTTCTTTTCTAATATAAGCATTTAAAACTATAAATCTCCCTCTAGACACTGTTTTTAGCTGAATCCCACAAATTTTGATGTTTTCATGACCAGTTCAAATTTTTTTCTGATATATTTTATGATTTTTTCTTAAATCCATCTGTTATTTAGAAATGAGTTGATTAAAAAAAAGAAGAAGAAGAAGAAAAAGAAAAAAAAAATAAATGAGTTGATAGGGCAGCCCCGGTGGCGCAGCGGTTTAGCACCGCCTGCAGTCCGGGGTGTGACCCTGGAGTCCCCATATCGAGTCCCACATCGGGCTCCCTCCATGGAGCCTGCTTCTCCCTCTGCCTGTGTCTCTGCCTCTTTTTCTCTGTGTCTCTCATGAATAAATAAATAAAACATCTTAAAAAAAAAGAAATGAGTTGATAAAATCCAAATATTAGGAAATTTTCTAGATATGTTTTCATCATTAATTTCTGACTTAATTCTACTGTGTCAGGTAACATACTCTGTATGATTTCAATCCTTTTTATATTTATTGAGACTCACTTTGTGGTCCTGAACATGGTCTTCCTTGGACAAATACTCCATGCGTACTTAAAAAGAATTATATTCTGCTGTTGCTGCATGTCACATTATAGCAATAGGTATCAACTAGGTCAAACTGGTTGATATTGTTATTCAAACTTTTCTATATCCCTACTGATTCTCCTGCCGCTTATTTTACCAGCTATACTAAGAGAAAATGATAAAATGTCCAAATATAATTTGAACTTTCTACTTCTTCCAGTTTTTGTCAGTTTTTGTCTCATGTTCTTTAAGTCTCTGTTACTAGGCACATAAACATTTAGGACTGATAGTTCTTGATGAATGTTATTTTTAATCTTTACCCTGTTAAATAACATTGATGTTTGCCTGATACTAATATTAGGCACTCCATTTTTATGATTGTTCGCACATATATCTTTCCCTATGTTTTTAACATGTCAGCCTATAGTTGTTTTGACACTGCTAGTGTTTATTTCTTCTTTTACCTTTTTATCCAGGACAAAAGACAAATCATAAGTGTATGTCTCTACGAAATATTCACAAGCTGCACACACCTATGTAACCCGCCCAGATCAAGACACAGAACATTCCTAGCAATACTCCTCATGTCCATTCCTGGTCATTCCCACCTCACCAAGGAAAACCATTGCCTGAGTTCCAACCTCAGATTCAAACCTAAAGTTTCTAAAATACTGAGTTTCTGATATTTATAAATCAGGAAATCTGCAGTTTTTGCTATCCTTTGAGAAATTAGATCTGGCAATCCTGGTGTGTGTTTCTTTGAGGCAGCAGCCCTGCTAACACAGGATCAGCCATCTGTTAATGAGGGGTGGCCTCTTTGGACCTACCTGCATTACATCCTTATTTTGTCACCTGCCTGGCACACTTATTTGTCTTCACATTTAAAGTGTGTTTCTTGTGGAAAGCATATAATTGGACCTTGCTAAATTAAATAATAAATTTAGTTTGATAATCTGCCTTTTATCTGAAGGGTTTAGGTCATTTATATGCAACTGTCCATATAGTTAGGTTTAAGTTTACCATATTGCTATTTGTCTTTATTCCATCTTTTCTTTGTTTTTTTTCCCCTTCTCTTTTCCTGTCTTCCCTTAGATTAAATTTTTTCCCATTTTATCTCAATTCCACTTATTGTCTTATTAGCTACATGTCAATATTTTTATGTGTTTACTCTAGAGTTTATAATAGGCATCTTTAAGATAAAAAAACTCTACCTTCAAACAATACTATATGTATTCATGTGTGATAAGTACAAACTTATTTGTGTATAATGTACAGAAACCTTTCAACAATATATGTTCCTTTTCCTTACCTAACCTTGTTGTAGTGTTTTCATACATTTTACTTTCCACATAATTCTCATAATATGCTATTATTTATGCTTTGAATAGCCAATTATAACCCTCAGATAATATTTACTCAATGGAAAACAAGACGAGAATGTCTGCTTTCATCACTGCTATTCAATATAGTATTGGAAGTTCTAGCAAGAGGATTTAGACATGAAAAAGAAATAATAGGCAAATTGGAGAGGAAGAAAAAAATTGTATCTGTTCAGAAATGACATAATTGTATATGTAGAAGGCCCTAAAAATGTCACACCAAAAAACAGTTGTTAGAGCTAACAAAATTCAATAAAGTTGCAGGATACAAAATTATTACACAAAAATCAGTCATATTTCTATACACTAGCAATGAACAATCTGAAAACAAGGTTAACAATTCCATTTACAATAACATCAAAAAGAATAAAATACTTAGGAATAAATCTAACCAAGGTGGTAAAAAAACTTGTATATTCCTACATCTATACAATAAAATATTGATGACAGAAATCAAAGAGAAGCAAATTAAAAGACTTCCTATGTTCATAGACTGGAAAACATTATTGTTAAGATGACAACACTACCCAAGGCTATGCACAGATTAAGTGTAAACCCTATCAAAATTCTTATGGCATTTTCAGAAATAGAAAAAAAAACTCACCCTAAAAATTCATATGAAATCTCAAAGGTCCCCTAATTACCAAAATAAATCTTGGAGAACTTTCAAAATGTACTACAAGTTTACTAGAGTAATCTAAACAGGGTGGTACTGGCATAAGAACAAGACATCTAGAAAAACAGCCTAGAACAGACAACCCAGAAGTAAATCTTATCATATATGGTCAACTGGCTTTCAATAATAGTGTCAAGATCATTCAAGTCTTTTTGACAAACAGTGCTGAGAAAACTAGATATCCACATATAAAACTAGATATCCAACTTCCAATGTAGTTGAGATCTTACCTTATACTACATAGAGAATTAGTTCCACCTGGATCAAAGACAAAACTGTAAGAGCCAAAACTATAAAACTCTTAGAAGAAAGCATATGGGAAAGGCTTCATGACATGGATTTTGCAATGAATTTTTGGATTTAACATCAAGATCAAGGTAACAAAATAAAAGTAAAATAAACTGGACTTCTTCAAAATTAAAAATTTTTCTGCATCAAAGGATACCATCAAGAAAGTGAAAAGACAGTCCACAGAATGGGAGAAAATAATTGAGAATCTTATATCTGGTAGGGATTAATATTATTAATGTAATAGAGCCTCTACCCCTAATTTCCAGTTTACAAAAAAAAAAAAAAAAAAAGAAGAAGAAGAAGAAGAAAAAGAAAGAAAGAAAAGAAAAAAAAACAGGATAGAGGAAAAAGTTAAGCATTAACTTGGGCCAAAAACCAGACATATCTAGCAAAAGAGATATTCTCAAAGATAATTGGCCCAATAGGGGTGTTGTGCAAGATTAAAGAAAAGAGACAACAATAAAAATGCATGAACCTTGACTGAATCCTAGATTGTGACTAGGGGGCAAGGAGAGAGCTTTAAAAGACATTCTTAAGATAACTGGGAAAATATGAGTCTATATGTTATGCAAGGAAATGCACTCATGCTTAAGAAATGCATACTGACATAGTTAAGGGTAAAGTGTTGTGATGTTTGAAATTTAGTTTTAAATAGTTCTGCCCCCACTCCAAAAATAAAAAGACAGAAAATATGACAATGTCAACAACTCAAATTTCAGTGGAAGGTGTGAGTGATCACTTTTTTCCTGTAAATTTGTAATTTTTCTGTAAATTCCGTAAATTTCTTCTTTTTTTTTTTCTGTAAACTTGAAAACTTTCAAAATAAAGTTTCTGGTAAAAAAAAAACCTTTAGGCCATGAAATTGCACAACTTAAAATGGCTAAAATGGTAAATTTTATATCATGGGATTTTTATCTCAGAACAACCCCTTACCCCCACCCCAAAACAAGCCAGAGCTATGGGTATCTGGCATTGTGAAGCTATTGTAGAACTGCCCTGCATAGCCCCATTCTCATTGACCATGATGTAAATGGCATCCCCTGGAGTTATGTAGTGCCATGACACTGGGTACAGTGGTGTTCTCATGTGAGTTGGAAGGAAACACAGACTCTTTATGCAGAATTAAAAAGAAATTAGGATAAGATATATTCAATAAAAGTAGTTTTATATAATTTAATTGCTATTATTTATTTTAGAATGTATAGGAGGAAGCAAGTCAGGATGATCTGGCCCCAAATCAGGCACAACTGGTTAAGAGTAAAATGCCAAAAGCAAACCAAACTAGCCACACACCTGGGTTGACAGATGGAGGAGGTGGAGGGGGGAGAGGTCGGCCTTCTTTAATGGCTAGTGTACACTGCTTTGCTGATCGGATGGCATTAATGAGGTCTTCATGTTGTTGTCTCCAGTTAGATCTTCTCACAGATTGAGGCTATAAAAAGCAAAACCAACATATACTAACTTAGACTATACATCTCTCCATTGCAATTTTAAGCTGAGATTTAAATTTACAGAAAATCAGACTGACATTTGGAGGGAAAAGAGAACTTGTTTTCAAAAGTACAAAAAAGAAGTTTGGGAAATACAGTAATAAAATTTGCAAGTCACACTAGTGAGGGAAAACACAAAATAACAATCAAAAACAAACTACAGAATTTTAAGGAATGACTTAAATGTAAGATTAAAAGGGACTCTCTTCCAAGTTAATTGCTAGATTTAACGCTACACTAATGAAAACATAAACGAGATTCTTTTTTGCCACATCTGGAAAGTATCTGAAATACATTTCGAAATCTAAGTGAGCATGATTAAAAAGAAAACAGTAAAGGTGGATTATACTTACATGACATTATACTGCACTATCAAGCAAAAATGAAGCCAGAGAGCCAAAAAGAGGATTTAATGTACTTAAGGATGTAATCAAGAACAATAAGCCAGATATTGATAGTACCTTGGACTGAGGAGCTTTTTTCACAATGGGGATGTCAGTGCCCTGTAATCTTTGTTTCAAGGAATTGAAAGGTTTGCGTTTTTTGTTGAAGAGTTTCCTACATATTGGTCCATGCCTTTCCTAGAAAAAAAAAAACCAGTGGGGATTAAAATTTTTAACATGTATAGTCACAAGGTTTGTACTGAGGCAGCCCCCACTGGAGTGACAGGGTTCACCTTCAGAGCCAAGTTCATTCTCCAACTCTCAAATCACAGCAGAGCAAATCCATCTGGCTCTCTCCACCCATGTTACACATCACTAGATATTGAGTGAGGGTAAGGTCAAGAAAAGGCCTTCGCAGCTAGCTCCAGGCATTCAATACTGTTGAAAAGGCAAACTTTCTAGTTTAAATTGAAATAAATATTTCTAATACTGAGTTAGGTACTCATGGAAGCCAAGGAAAGTTTTCCCGGTTATATCTTCTGTTCGGTTTCCTGCCTCCACAGATTCCCAAATTCCATGAGCAAGTCATCCAGTAACCTAGCAGGGAATCTGAGTCCCAACAATCCTAACATTGTTTTACCATCCTTTTGAAACAGCCCTTTGCATACAGCAGGGGGAAACTTTGTTCCTACCAGTGGAACCTTCTCAGGGAAACTCTTCTTACCACTTGGCAATTTCAAAATTGAATTTAATGGAGTCACTTTTCTACATACAGCAAATTAAACTACTTAACTTCCTCAAGGAGTAGGGAGGTTTCAAAGAAATATTTGAGAACATCTGCAAAAGACAACTGGGACAACCATGCAAATAAATGAAGGGTACACCAATTCCATTTACATTATGAAGATATTTTCCTTTAATTTATCCAAACATTTCACATCCATGAAGTCATTTATTTCAGAGCAAATCTGAGTATTTAATATTAAGTTTTAAAATGTTACAATATTTAACATTTAACAGACGATCAGCAGGGAAAACTTTTTTACTCCAGCCAAGAAGTTCTTTAAGTACTCAGAATTTCTAGTACATAAGACAGGGAGGCCAACATGCAGCCTGTGTACCACCCTTACAAAGTCTGTGACAGCAACATCATAGGATTATGCCAACAACTTCCAACTAGATGTCCTCTTCCTTGGTGGGCAGGTAACTCATAATAGTTAACACACAATTCTTTCATCCAACAAAATACAGGGCTCTATAAAAATCTCTGTACTGGTTACAAACAAGCCCTATCATTTTATTTTATATTTTATTTTTCTCCCATATCATTATTTTTAATGTCCAGCATTTATGATATGAGGGACAGAGCTTTCTCCCCAACTCAAGTTTATAAATTTTCGATGGCTTGTGAGGCCAGTAAGGCATTATGTTCTTCATGTTCTCCAGCTCTTTTTCATATTCCTCAATCCTGGCCTTTGAGAGAGACAAACACTCAGCACAACTTTTTACCTCTTCTTTTTCCTCAGCATCCACCCAGACTGTATATTTATTCTCTGGCATGGGAACCTTCAGGGCATTAAACTTCTCAAAGTAATCTACAAGCCAAACTTCACCAAATAGGCCTTATAGTCAGCCCAGTCGATAGTAGGTGGTTTCTCACGGAGAGTAGCCAACATGGAGGTACGCATCTCATTCCAAGATTGTACTGTAGGGAGTTAGCAATGGCCTTCTGGTTTTGGGGTATGATTTCCCCCAAAGCTACCCAGTCAGTGGCTTTTAGAGCAAGTTCTTGCCCAGCCATCTTGAGATCCTTCACTGACCCCAGCAGCCCATGGTCCACAGCAGCAAGGAACAGATATTTTATTTTTAAAGATTTATTTATTTTATGGAGAGAAAGAGAAAGACAGAGGAGGGGAGGGGCAGTGGGAGAAGGGGGAGAAAATCTTTAGCAGACTCCCTGCTGAGTGCAGAGCCCGACACTGGGTTCCGTCCTGTGACCCTGAGATCATGACTTGAGCTGAAATCAAAAGAGTCCGACACTCAACTGACAGAGCCACCCAGGTGCCCCAAGCCATATCATTTTAAATTAGAGAGAGGTATCCTATCATTTGATCAAATGCTCTTTGTAGCCTGGAGATAGGCCTAGAAGTAAAACCCAAGAAGACCCAAGACATACTTGACATTTAGTAATCTCACTTCAAATGAATGGTATCTTCTAGGTCTCGAATTCCTTCTTATGGGGTGCAGGCCTAGTTTGGCAAAAGCAGCACACTGGTGGATTCCTGGGCCACAACAGGCCTATTAGCTCCTGCTTCTAAATTCAGGAAGCTCTAGCTGCAGTTAATTACAACAGATATTTCATTTTTAAAATTCCCCAGAGAAAGAAAACTTAAAACCTCATTGTGTAGTCTTTCACCCCAAATGCAGTCAGGTGTATAGTCCAAATCCTTTAAGTTTGGTTATGTCTCCTTGATTAAAATGTTCAAACTGAGTTGCATTATCACCTTAAGTTTTTTATTATCATTTTTCTTGGGACTCTCTTTAGAATATTGGAATCTCATACCTGATTCCCTAACTTTGAAATAAATTAAGCTTTTATTCCACTTTATAGGTATCATTCAGAGGACTTGACATGCAGTTAGTTTGAATCTGATGAACAATTAGATCTTGGAACAGGCCTTACATCCATTTTGTTCAAATTACATAAAGTCCCTGAAATTGAAAGGTTCTGTCTTTATACGTGGCAAAGCAGGAAACAGAGGGAGGTTAAAGGACTTGTCAGAATTAGTGACAAATTTGAGGCTAAAAGCCAAGTTTCCAGATGCTCCAAATTCAATGTTCATTCTTCTTAACTAGCTAATTTCCCTGGTGCTTTGGCCTTAAAATTTGAATTTTTGATGCTTATAGAAAAGGCAAAAGAGCCAAAACCTCTCAAGAGACAATTAGCTGTGCCAAAACGTTTTCATCTGGCATCCTTTTTGTAAGAGTACCATGTTTAACTAAGCTCCCTTTTGAATGGGGTGGTATCTTTGTGCCTTGGTGTCCTCTGGGCCTGCCAGCCATAGGTTATGGACCTCTCTTTCCTTGCTTTCCCTCCACATCTGTCTTTAATCTTTGCCGCTGCAGCCTCCTCACTGACTTGACAGTTCATTTAACTCCAACAAAACACATCTACAAAATGTCTTTATGTTTACCAGAACATCTGCTGCAAAGCGTCTTCCACAGACTTCACAGGGAAGTAACTCCTGATTGCCATCTGTATAAGATCCAAAAGCACATTATGTTAGTTTCGTGGAACTGCCTGCCTGAGAAATGACTAACTGGAGGGGACCTCGATAGCTTGATCTCCTCACTCCTTTTTCCCTCCTCACCAACTTCCTTCTCTTAGTAAGATATTTCATAAACTTACCCATCTTCCTCTTCTAATATAGACTTCTCAAATCGCTAAACAGGTAAATTGCATGTCCTTCAGGCAACCAGAGTACAATTCTTTAATATATTCCTAAACTAAGTGCCTAATGGCTTTGCTTTAGATAGAAGTACAAAGTTAATACTTTAGTATAAAATAGTAAATTATCTAATGGTAACATTTTTAGGATTCCTACTAGAATGTAAGGTCTATGTGTGTGCTAGATGAAGGCATGGGAATTTATCACAGGATGTATGAAAAGAGTCACCTAATCATCAAACTTAAACTTTCCTGAGAGTGGCTCTCTCTCAATAAATGCTTTTTGTTGGAAAAACAAACAAACAAACACCTCCTGAGAGGAAGGGAGTATAAGATACTGATGAAATGGACCACGAAGTATTATTGGGACTTCTATCCAAATCAGGAAAGATGGCACCATTACAATGCAGAAGCATGTAAGGATGAGTGTCCGTCCTATCCTAAGAAGGGCTATTTGGTCAGATCTCTTAATGAGGTCAGTGAGTAACACTCACTACTGGTATTTTACATACAGTCTTGAATGAGTGAAGGACTGTAATCACAATATGGTCACTACTTGCTTTTGTTTTTAATATTCAACTATAGTGTTTTTAAAAGTTAAATGAAGAATAAAGTCAATTAAAAAAAAAAAAGGCTGAGACTGAACCCACATGTGCCCCATGTCTCAAAGTACCTGACCCTAGTAATTAAAGTGCTCAATACTTATTGAATGTGTGGGCCAAACACTAGTTGAGTTTCCACCATAGGACCAATCCTTCATTCTATAAATATCTGCTACATGCAACTCTGTGGAAATATTGAGAGAAACCACAAAATGGGTGCAGAGAGAAAAGGAGAGTGTACATTAAATGAAGTTAGGTAAGTGTCACAGGAAAAGGAAAACATTGTGGAATTCTGTAAAGGTTTCGCCTCATTACTTGAAGCTCCTCTGGAGTCGAGTATATAGATTAGAAAAGCCGGTCAGAGGAGCAATCAGGGATCCTGAGTAGGGAGAATCTGAAGAGAGCTGTGGAAGGTTGAATGGATGGTTGTGGGGAGGGGAGGTGAGATTTCAGTTACAAAGCTGAAGGTGTGGGCCTGAAATGCAAAGAGAGGGAAGAGGAGACACTGCTCAAAGAATTGACAACATGACTAGATGTGCAGGGATTGAGGAGGTGGCAAAGAGAGAACAGTGCAGAGGGACTGAGAAGAGGGTCGGGCTGTGGACAGAAACAGAATTTGAAAAGAAGGGCCATCTTAGTAAGAAAAATTACCTCAGCTTTGGAAATACTGAGTTTGAGAGAGTCATCCAGCCAGCAGGATGGAAATGAGGGAGGTCAGGGCTAGAGACACAGATGTAGGCTTTGTTTGGAGAGTGATGTAAAGGCATGATATTGCCAGGGAAGAGGTCATGGAAAGAGAAGTACAGGGATGATCCCTAGGGAACTCCGTATTTAAGGGCCAAGAAGATGAGGATGATAAGCCAGGAGGAGAAACAGGAGAGAACAGGGTCATGGAAACCAAGAGGAGACGGGTTGAAAAAGGAAGGACTGATTAACAGAAATCAGATGGTAGCTCATTACAGACATTGTTGATTTAAATGATTTCTTCTCACATCTGCCAGATGGTATTGTATTTACAACACAGGTCATCCATTACAGCATACAGAAATATTACTCTTCCTCTCCCTTCTTTTGGCCTTCTAAGTCTGTAAAACTGAGTCTTACATTATTTTTTTCAGCAAGGACATATTTACTAGTTAAAAAATATAAGGTATTCAAATAATAAATCTGCTTTTTCTAAACCACTAATGACGATTTTTATTTTTATAGAGTACTGTAACATTTATAGTGTTTTCCTGTTTCCCAAATACTTTTCCTATATATAATCCATTTACTCCTGAGTTGGCATTATTATTTTTTTAACAGGTAAGCAAATAAAGGCTCAAAGTTAGGGGACTTCTCAAACACCACAGGTAGTAAGTGGTAACACGGAGACTCAAACTTGAGTCTCTATCTCTGCAAGTAGTAAGACCATGTATTCAACCATCACCATAAATATAGGTATGTTGGTACTAACCTGCAAAATAAATGGAAGCCTCTGAAGGATAAATACCCTCTGATTTAAATCAGTGATTTTTTTTTTTTAATCTACGATAGTCACACAGAGAGAGAGACAGAGACAGAGACACAGGCAGAGGGAGAAGCAGACTCCATGCACCAGGAGCCCGACGAGGGATTCGATCCCAGATCTCCAGGATCGCGCCCTGGGCCAAAGGCAGGCACCAAACCGCTGCGCCACCCAGGGATCCCTAAATCAGTGAGTTTTAATTAGTTCAAGGAGTTTAAAAGAATGGCAGATAAAATAGGATTCAACTGAACACCTGAAATTGAAGGACCACCAAATTCTGAACCACATTCAGTTCTGAAGCTTGATTGTAACGAAACACCTGCCTAGTCAGTCAAACTAAACATGAAGATCAAGGTCATCTACACTGTTGGTGATAGAATGCTGAGTCACATGGAATATGTGATCACCAGAACCTTAGAAGAATCATTTAAAACAACCAAAATGCTTTGCAATAAGTGGTTATACTGTTACATCTAAATCCTGGAATACTGTTCAACAACAGAATACTACTGATACATACACACCTGGATGGATCTCAATGCTGAGAAAAGCCAATCTCAAAAGGTTATGTACTGTATGATTCCATTTGTAGAACAATTTCAAAATGACAAAATTAGAGAGACAGAGAATAGATTAATGACTGCCAACAGGGAGGGATGATTGGAGAAGGAGGTGGTTGTGACTATCCAGGATAGAATGAGGGAAACCGCTGAGAAGTGGGATAATTCTAGGAGCGCCTGACTGACTCAGTTAAGATCATGGGCCCCTTGGTCTCAGGATTGTAAATCTGAATCCCATGTTGGATGTAGAGATTCATAAAATAAAATTTGAAAAAGCAGTTCTGTATTATCGTAGTGGGTGGTTGTTATATATGTAATAGAATGGTATGGAACTATAAATACACACTGTATCATGTATATTTCCTGGGTTTGATATTGTACTATAGTCGTTTAAGCTATAACTTAAACTGAGGAAACTAGGTAAAAGATGAATGGGATCTCTATTTTGCAATTCTTGTGCACTATTGTCCAAATAAGCTTAAAGAAACATCCAGGGGTGAGCAAATTGAGACCAGTGGGTCAAATATGAAGCTATTATGTTTTTGTAAATAAAGTTTTATTGGTAAACAATCATACCCATTTGTTTGTTTAATGTCTATTGCTGCTTTCACACTACAATAGTAGAGTAGTTATTAATGGAGACCATATGGCCTGCAAAGCCAAAAATCATACTAGGAAATAGGTTACCAACCAGTAAAGGAGAATGTAATGATTAAAAATGACTTGTGGGAGAAAAACATGGAAAATGTTAATGATACATTTTTATTCACGTATTTACAAATAAGAACTAGGAGTTATATAGATATTTACAGGGTGTGTGTGTGTCTGTGTGTGTATGAATACTCATACCTCTGAGTGGTTAAGAATAAAGGTGATTAGTTTCCTGCATTTTCAATTTTTCTACAAACATTATTCATTATTGTTTTAAAGATTAAAACAATGACATTTTAAAAAAGGAACACTTTGATAGAAAAGATTATAAAACAATCAGTATCAACTCAGCTATTTCTGTATATCCTCTTACTTAGTAGACTGTATCAACGTGGCCATTATTTTTATACGTTTGGTATTATTTTTACACATTGGTTTAAAATCTTAGACAATTTTTAAAATGAGGAAAAGAAAGTGATCTGGAGGGATCCCTGGGTGGCTCAGCGGTTTTGCGCCTGCCTTTGGCCCGGGGCGCGATCCTGGGGTCCCGGGATCGAGTCCCGCGTCGAGCTCCCGGCATGGAGCTTGCTTCTCCCTCTGCCTGTGTCTCTGCCTCTCTCTCTCTCTCTCTCTCTCTGTGTCTATCATAAATAAATAAAAATAAATTAAAAAAAAAACAAAAACAAAGTGATCTGGAAGCCATCAACAGTTTTGTTTAGCATGTTAACAATGAAAAATAAGCATTACAAAGATCTCAGTTCAAAAATTTTATAAGAAGCCTGGAGAGGATTATGACTATAATGAAATTGGAAAAAATTCTACTTTGGACTAGACATTTTCTTTCTGAGCTGGAAGTTAAGAATGCTTTGTACAGACACCTAACAATTCACATTTCCTTATAAAGGCATGGTGGAGAAGAGAAAAGGAAGACATTTTCTCATTCAGTTGTCAGTGAGTCAAAAAACTTAATTTCTTTGCAATCCAGAACATACAAACATTAGCAATATCAACATCTTCCATGGTCCTATGATAAAGAGGGTAGCATAGTGGCCTCCACCTATTCACTTACCCCAGGAACATGAGTTATTAAAGAGGAGGAGGAATTAAGACAGGAAGGTAGAAAGAACACCCCCATCAAATTTTGCTTTCCTTCAAAGCTCTAAAAAAAAACAACAGTAAAGGAAAATAGAGACACAGAGAACCGTAAGGTCAGGGAGGAAAGGAGACAGCAATAAAAAAATCTGATTCTGGAAAAATGATAGACATAGTGACTTGGAGGAGTTAAAACTATGTCAGAATCCACTTCCCAAGCTGACAGAAGGGAGAACCAACCATCCAGATTTTTATTGCAGAACCCTTCAAAGTTGTAGGAATCCCCAGAACAGCATGTACCTGTGGGATTGGGATGAGATAAATGAAGAGCCTGCTAAAATATGGAGGGCCAAGATGAAAGTTTACTGATTCAAAGAAGTTGATTCCCGGATCCCCTCCCTCCCTCTACACCCTTGGGTGACTGCCCTCCCTAACTCTAGCATAAGTCTACTCTCCAAAAATGACAAAAAGAGATCTGTGCAGGAGTGAACATGAGGCACTGCTGAAGGCAGGGGTAGGCAGATATAGATGTATACATATATTTATGGTTGACTCATTATTTGTGGTAGGTGCATTCCATAAAGTCTCTTCCAACACTGAATGACCTTATTACTCCCAAGGGGAATACAGGGTTAGGTTCCTGTGAGCCTTTGGTCACACTATTTTTAATCCACATATCAATGTACAACTTCGTTTTATTTTTCCATTTATTTTTTTTAAAGATTTTATTTATTTATTCATGACTGACAGAGAGAGAGAGAGAGAGAGAGAGGCAGAGACACAGGCAGAGGGAGAAGCAGGCTCCATGCAGGGAGCCCGATGTGAGATTTGATACCAGGTCTCCAGGATCACACCCCATGCTGAAGGTGCTGCCCTTGTTTTTCTATTTAAGACACTTTGTGTTGGGCAGCCTGGGTAGCTCAGTGGTTCAGTGCTGCCTTCGGCCTGGGGTGTGATCCTGGAGACCTGGGATCGAGTCCCACGTCGGGCTCCCTGCATGGAACCTGCTTCTCCCTCTGCCTGTTGTCTCTACCTCTCTGTTTCTCATGAATAAAGAAAATAAATAAGTAAATAAGTAAATAAATAAATAAATAAATAATCTGGTGTAAATATATAGTTGATTCAGTCCTAGTTGGCAACACTGTAACTCATGCCTGGATGAAGATTATCTAGCAGACGTATTTTCTCCACAGCCTTCACGCACTCAGAAACACTGGACCACACTTCAACACAATGTTTGGGGGCCATTTTAAACATTAAAATCACCATGAAAAATGGCAAAAACATGGAAAATGTGGCATGGACTATGAAAAGGACAGGTGTTTACAGTATGAGAGCTGAAACAAGAAGGCAAGGGCATCACCTTGTTCCACCTTTGCTGAGAACATGCCATGTCTGGTGACTCAACTTTTTAACTGCTATGTGCAGGTCTGTGAATGGCTATGAAAGCACCATGCACATTGATTTTAGAATTTCAAGTTTTAGAAAATAGACAAATTTGCAAATAAGGATTCAATTAATGAGGTTGATGGTGCGTGTGTATGATGATTCGTCTAGTGATTCCTCTTATGAATAATGATGCTGAAGGCAGAGAATATACCTCAAACTCTGTTCCTCTATTTGGCTCAGAGAACTCTGCCTGCCAGACCCTTACTCTCAAGATAAAATTAAAACTTCCCTAAGAATATAACCATTCCCTGACAAAATGCATAAAGACATCGACACTGGAAAGATTCCCAAACAGCTTACCAAGACCATTCTACAATAAAGCTCAAAATCATCAAATGCCACTTATCCATTAAGAATTTCCAGGGTTGGGGAGCCCTGGTGGCTCAGCGGTTTAGCGCTGCCTTCAGCCGGGGTGTGGTCCTGGAGACCTGGGATCGAGTCCTGCATCAGGCTCCCGGTATGGAGCCTGCTTCTCCCTCTGCCTGTGTCTCTGCCTCTCTCTCCTTCTGTGTCTCTCATGAATAAATAAATAAAATCTTAAAAAAAAAAAAAAAGAATTTCCAGTGTCTCCTTCCTCCAGTCTTAATCATGAGCCAAAAGACAGGAATTTCCAAAGATCTGTGGAAAAGCTCTAACAGGTAAGCCCAAAATGAATTAAAAAGCAATTTGAATAAAAATTAACTCTTAGAAATTAAAAGTCTTATTGGAGAAATGAAAGACTCAGAAGACTGGAAGACAAAATTAGGGAAATCTCTCAGAAAGTAGAGTAAAATGGCATAGAGATGGGAGAAAAACATAAGCAATTCAAGTACCGCTGGTCCAGAAGGTCACCTCAAGTAACAGCTGAAGAGAGAAAAAGAGAAAACACAAGAAAATAAAAAATTTTAACTTCCAGAAGTGAAAGGACATGAGCCTCCACTGAAAAGATAAAACACAATGGATGAAAATAGATCCATAACATCATCATTGTGAAATTTCAGAACTTTGGAGACAGAGATTCTACAGATATGAAAAAAAATTACATGCAAAATATCAGGAATCAGAATGGCTTCAGATTCCCATAAACTTGGAAATGAATGAGGAAAAATCCTTTAAACTTCTGAGGGAGAATAATCTAAACCTCTAATTTTATACCCAGCCAAGCTATGGATCAAATATGGGGGTTGAGTACATTTCTCAACATGGAGGGTTTCAAGAAGTTGACATCCCATCACCCTAATTCAAGAATTACAAGAGGATGTGCTTCACAATGTAAAACATACTGCAAATAGACAATTTAACATATGAAGGAGAGAAAGTAATTCCTAGGATAACAGCTGGGCACCAGAACCACAGAGTGACTAGTTCACACTAAAGGTATATAATGAAAAACAGGTTGATGGTTGTCATAAGCATGATATTCACTGCCTTCATAATCTGAGGTTAGTATGTCCTAGTGTATCTGGCTCCCACTGTTCTATACTTCGCTTGTTTGACCATTGGAGTGCTTGTTCTTCCCTTCATATTCTGACATCTAGATGAGCTGAGGACACTCACTGCACTCCAGAGGAAGGCTCTGCATTGATCTTGAGATCACGGTGACCTTAAAAAGCAGAAAAATGTAAAACAAGTATACAACCACTAAACATCTCCACTACAGGAGATCCAGGATGCTCCAGCTGTGGTGACTTGTGTTCCCTAGAACTTACTCATCACCTGGCTCAATGTCATCTCTGATTGGGACTCTTATAAATTCTAGAAACTGAACTCAAGCTCAGAGAATACTCATTCAGTTCAAAGATGCCTTCATCAACTGTTGGTAAATATTGCCCTCATAAAGCCAGATTTGTGTTCCAAAACTAAACTAAGATATTGTGTTTAGAAATACCATACAGCTGATAATATAATCTAGATAGTATTTAGGAGTTCCTGAAGGGAAAGAGTGGGATGAAACTGATGATGGAACCACAGGCTTCTATGTTCTATTTCTCAACTTGAATAGTGCAATGTTTTGTTTTATTATACGTAATAACGTATAGAAGTTCAACAATTAAAACGTTAAGGCCATTAGAATTTTTACCTTCTCTTGACCCTTCTCTGTAATAAGCTAGATAAAACATACTAATATCAAAACACAGGAAAAAGAACATAAGTGCACCGATAACAGTAAAGTTACAAGATGACTGGAGTAGTCCTTCACCTGAGATTATTTGATGATGTCACAATGAAGATGTGGATACAATGGAGCAGCTTATATACACAAATAGCTTTTGATACTTAAAAAAAGTGATTTAATAACAAGCATTAAATACTCATGCAAAAGAGGTGCTTAAGGCACAGCAGGCAAATTCTTCATTACTTTGCCCCTACCAGGAAGGCCTTGGGCCTTCTTTCTCCAAGCTAACATTGAGTCTAGGTCCAATTGTTCCAAATATAAGCAATCTTTTGATGAAATGTCTTCCCTATCCATTCATTTATAGACTACCTAGTGATCATTTACCAAATGCCAGAAGCTGTTCTAGGCCATGGGGATAACACAGTAAATAAAAATTCCCTGCTGTTTGTACTACTGAGAGGAAACTGAAAAACTAAAATAGAGCTCAGATGCCGCGATGCCATGGAGACCATAAAGCAGGGAAGAAGCCTAAAAAATGCAAGCGAAGGATGTTGCTATCTTTATATACATGGTCGGATCAAAGTTTATAGTGGAGATAACTGAACACCAACCTTGAGGAAGCTTTATTTGCAGTAAGAGCACTTCAGGGGGAATAGCAAGTACCTGGATCATTTTAAGTGGTACTTATCAGAAAGTTGGTGTTGCTAGTTAGATTTTGCTGCACACACCCTGCCTCCTAGGAAGATGCAATCCTTGATGGCAAAAACCTTCTCTAGACTTCCAACATTCACCAGGACCTTATGTTAAGTTTGTAATCATTGTTAAAGACAACTCAAATTGTAAAGATTCAAATTTTTCCAAAATAATTCTGAGTATGTAAGGTTTGTTCTCTAGAATAAAATTAAGATCTTTAAATCTGGAGGATAGGGATCCCTGGGTGGCGCAGCGGTTTGGCGCCTGTCTTTGGCCCAGGGCGTGATCCTGGAGACCCGGGATCGAATCCCACATCGGGCTCCCAATGCATGGAGCCTGCTTCTCCCTCTGCCTGTGTCTCTGCCTCTCTCTCTCTCTCTCTGTGTGTGTGTGACTATCATAAATTAAAAAAAAAAAAAAATCTGGAGGATAATCAGTATACATCACAATATTGCTTCAGCAAGATTCATGGCTTATAGTCACCTTTCCTTAACTGCAAAATATATAATGGCTGACTTAAACCCTTTGGATAGGTGAAGTGATTCCTAAGAAGGAATCTGAATAGCACTGAGTTAAAATAATATTCCAAGTCTTTAAGATTCTTGCTGATTTTAAGAACCTTCAATGGAGACAGCTACCAAAATAAATGGTCAATCTTGTTAGGATTTAATACATTCACAATACTAACATAAACCATCATCTGACCCTTTGCTTGCAGAATGGCATTTAAATACATACTCCCCAGTTAGATTCCACTTCTATAATGACAAGCTCTTCAGCTGAGTTTTTTGTATCAATGTCGGTTGAATACCTAATGCTACTGTATTTTACAGCTCTTAAAAATCCTAGAATACTTAGATTTACAATTTAAAACAAACAGAACAAAAAAAAAAATAAAACAAACAGAACAAGATAACACCCGCCAACTTTGGAAAAGCCAGAATCAAATGAATTATAGAAAACACTTTCTAATAAATTTAGTTATCAAACGCAGCTCACCAGCTAAAAATGGTTCTGCCTCAGCCATCCTGTTCCCAATTCAGATTAACAGTGTCCACAGATTTTTTTTTCCCCCAGAACAGTCCAGATAGCAACACATTAGTCATGGATACATGAACAAGGGTCACTAACAACTTGTCTATTGCAAGGGTGTCACAGTTTACCAAATAATTAACAATTGTGATGGTGTCATTGCTTGGGCTCTGAGAAAGCTTACAGGAAAAAAGAAAACAACATCAGACAAACCTCACCAAATAACTAAGGAAAATTTTCAACTACATCTTTTAATCAAATATGAATGGTTCCAAGCCATTAAATAATGTTGAAAAGACAAACTTTCTAGTTTAAACTCAACTAAATATTCCTGATTTTAAGCCAGTACTCACTGAAGCCAAGGACGTTTTCTTGATTTGTTTCTGCTTCCTGTCTTCACTGCTCCTAAATTCCAAAAGTAAGTCATCCAGTAACTGAGTTCCAACAATCCTAGCACTCAAGTTTTACCATCCTTTTGAAACAGTCCTTTGCATATATAGCAGGGGAAACTTAGTTCCTACAGCAGAACCTTCTCAGGAAAACTCTTAACCACTCAGCATTTCAAACCAGAGTTTAACAGGGTGACTTTTCTACATACAGCAAATTACACCACTTAACTCCTGAAAAGAGTGGAAAGGTTTCAGAAATATTTGAGAACATCTGTGAAAGACAGCTGGGACAAACATACAAATAAATGAAGAATACACCAATTCCATTTATGTTATGAAGATGTTTTCCTTCAACTCATCCAGTCATTTCACATTTGTGAAATCATTTTATTTCAGAGCGAATTCTAAGCTTATAATAGAAGTCTTAAAATGTTACAATATTTACAAGAAAGATGGCAGAGAAAACTTGGTGGTATAAATACTTGCCGTTAAAAATAGCAAATTAAATAGTTTTGTCTCTTTGAAGATCCTTGTTCAATACTGAACATAACAAGGAGCCCCAATGGAGAAGGCTCCTTATCCTAAATGCTCTACTGTCATAGCTTTAGCCCCTCAACGTTCTTCTTCAAGTTCAGCTGCTCCTTTTCTTGTCTTCTTTTCTCCAGCTTGAAGGCTAATTTGTTAGCTTTCTTCTCCATTCTTCGTTCCTGTAGAAGAATACCGTTACGTTACTCAAATCTTTAAACTGATGAAGACTAATTTTACAGAAGACAATTTCCACAATCATCCCTCCACCACAAGCTCTTTATACATCTCCCATTTGAGAAAAGCTTTACCTTGCGCTCCTCTTTTATAGCTTGCTTTCTTGCTTTTTTATCTTCTTTGCTTTCATTTTTAGATCGAGGTTGGGTTGACACCTTTGGCAGATCACTGCCATTAATCATCTGCATTCGTTCAACTTGCTTTGCTGTGAGTCCTTTCTTAGGTAAGACATTGAGAGGTATTCCTGTTTTAGAAGATATTTGGATTTGTTTGGGCTGAAATAAAAATAAAATCATACTAAGGTCACTTCCCATTCCTATTAAAAAACAGTTCACTGTTGCCTTTCCCTGTGCTGCTAGCCACAAAAGGGTAAAGCCACTGTGAGAAAAACATTCTATTTTCTGCACTATATACTTTAGATAGCTCAGGACCCTAGGACTTACCTTTGGCTGATACTTGATAAGCTGTGGATGGTTATATAAATTTGAGTATGTACCTTTAAAAACAAACAAACAAACATGCACCAATAAGGACATTTTCAATTCAGCAAAACATTACTGAGTTCCTACTATATTACCAACTTTGATGTTTTCATATTTCAAAATAACAATGGAGTCTCTCTTCTAAGTATCTTTAAATTGTTTGCAACTTAGTAATGGGAATATTGCTTTTTCCAAATCATTTTCACAAAATAGTACTTTTCCAATAAATTGATGAACTTAATACTTTGAAATTACTATCATACCTTTAGCAGTAAAATGAACACTAAAATACTTACTACAAATAGATTCACAATCCCACTTCTCTTTGGCTTCTTCAAGAACTATGGTAACAATCTCTTCCTCCTCAGACCCTTCGGGTTCATTCATTAGCAAGTCCTGATCCTCCAGAGGTTCAAGAGTATTCAGTTTTACACAACTTGTAGTTGTTTTTTGAAAATGAAGAGGCAGGAGGGGAAAAAATAACACCACCCATTATTATACTATGTTACTAAAACTGCACTTCAAGAGCTGTGGAAACAATAGCATTAAAAAAAAAATCCTAAAAAAAAAATAATAATTAATTAAAAAAAAAAAAATCCTAGCTCTCCCCACCCACAACTCTCTCCTCCAGCAGGTTTTGAACATTCATTCCACTGACAGAAGAGATCTTTGCAGGGTTATAACACACTGAACGAGATGGCAACTTTCCTAAAACATGGGTTTTTTTAAAAGCCTCGAAAAGTATTACCCCATTTGTCTCTCCAAAATCACATAATCCACTCAAAATATGTAGCCCTTGTCCTACTATAGGATCTGCAAATGATAGTGATCGTGGAGTATCAGACCTATCCAGCAAATGTAAACACCTCATTAGTTTCTTGCAGAAAAATTACCTCAATATGGATGCTGAGCTGAATCACCAAATATCTGGCTGTAAAGTTATGCTAATACGGCTGGAGAGACAAACTCTTTATCTTTCTATGAGCCATAACTGTCAACTTCTCAGAATAGTTGGCATTTTAGGAAGATGAAAAAAAAAAAGAGTATATATAATTAGAGGTCAGATTAACTTTCAGCCAAAGAGGCTAAAAGCACCACCTCATTCTCCAAGTGGAATGTGACCTCACACTCCAACTCTAACCCTCAGCTCTTCTATCATGACTCTTAGGTCAAAGCCATAAAGAAAGTGGTTCTCAGTAGGTTTTCACTCACTGTTATAGTCAGCTTCAGAACCTTAATATGAAAAAGTGAATCAAAGTTTATGGAAAACATACCATTTTCTTAATATAGTTTCTGACTGGGTGATTTTCTAGATTCAGATATTCAGTTACAAACTTTATTTAAAAATGCAAAACAAGTAAAAATAAGGAAAAGTCAATGTACTTCTCTGCTTTCTCTTTGTAGTAGTCATTCAAGACTTCCTCTAAGCGGCTGCTGTCTACTTGAATGGAACCTTCCAATTCAGCATTATCCAGAGCTCCAATTTCATCATCATCATATTGCTCATAAAACTGGAGTAGAGAGAGAACAGATGCCATGAAAAATAATGTATTAAGACTGTAACATTGAAAATGTTATTTTTACATTACTCTTTTTTTAAGATGTTATTTTTTTAAGTGATCTCTATACCCAAAGTGGGGCTCAACTACCAACTCCAAGATCAAGTCACATGCTCCATCAACTGAGCCAGCCAAACACCCTGATTTTAAATTAATTTTATTTCTACACAATATCTAAGCACTACCATGAGATCATAACTACCATTACAATATTGCCAGCGATTAGCACCATGACAACACAATGTGGAAGACATTCAATCCAGTACTTTAAGACTTACACTTAGATTGAAAATAGAATGCCATTTTTTCTTTAAAGATCTTAGAGAGAGAAAAAGTACAGGCGAGGTGAGGGGGCAAGGGAGAGAATCTCAAGCAGACTTCTTGCTGAGGGCAGAGCCCGATGCAGGGCTCAATCCAATCCTGGGATGATGACCTGAGCCAAAATCAAAACTTGGACACTTAAGCAACTGAGCCACCCAGCTGCCCTGTACATAGGCTGCCATTTAATATCAAAGTGAAAGGCAATTCTGTTCAGCTTGGAGAGCACATGCTGGGTAGAAATCTTTACTTCGGAATATTTTTATTTTTTTTTATTTATGATAGTCACAGAGAGAGAGAGAGAGAGAGAGGCAGAGACACAGGCAGAGGGAGAAGCAGGCTCCATGCACCGGGAGCCTGATGTGGGATTCGATCCCGGGTCTCCAGGATCGCGCCCTGGGCCAAAGGCAGGCGCAAACCACTGCGCCACCCAGGGATCCCTACTTCGGAATATTTTATGAGTGTTTTCAAATTTGTTGATTATGCAAAGTAAAAGACCATGTAACTAAACAATCTCCTTTAACCATACAAATTTCAGGGGTGCCTGCCTGGTTCAGTAGGTAGAACACACAACTCTTGATCTCAGTGTCGTTGAGTTCAAGCCCCACACTGGGCATGGAGCTTACTTAAATAAAAAATAAAAATAAATGTACAAATTTCATTCTTGTTTAAATGATGTTTACTGTATTACTCAAACACCGTTAAGACTAAATAGCACGTGATGTTGACTCCTGAAGAGTAAAGTTGTTTGTAATAGCTTGCCTACTAGTACTTAGTGAAAAGGTAGAAGTTAGAATCTATTAGATTTACCTTGAATGACACACCATTCGCTCGTTCATCATTTACTGAATAGCATGAATTCCTACCATATGCCAGACACCATATTAGACCTTGGGATAGGTCAGTGAACAGACACACACACAAAACTGAAAGCAATGGAATTTTGTTTATGCTCAGGCCAATGCTTGAGGAAAACAGCATAATCTTAGGGACTGGAGTCAGAGGTTCAGAATCAAAATGTCAAACCTCTCTAAGGAAGTCCACAGATTCCATCTGCTATCTCTGACCTATATGCATTCTTTCTAGAATTAAAACTGGATGGTTTTATAGTCTGTTTTAATAAGACATAAGCTATTTCTAATGCTTAAAGTTCTGGCTTTGAGTTCTAAGGTCATATGAAATTTACCAGGAATTAGTATTAAAAGGGTCCCTTATTTGGAGACCAACCTTACCTTCTCAAATCTCTCATCATGAAGAGTCAGCTGCTCATTTCTCCTCATGACTGAGGATGTTATAGAATATTCAGTAAAGCGACTTTTCGTTTCCTCTTCCCAGAACAAGTGATTTTCTATAGCCCCAGGAGATTTTCCAGGGACAGACATGGCCTCATCTGATGAGTCCACAGAGCCATAGTTATCGTCATCACTACCTCTTTCCTTCTCATCATCCATATCTTCCCACTCACTGTCATCTTCGGCCTCAGATTTCCTAAAGCCAGAGTCACAAATTAACTGTCAAAACAACTTGAGAAACAACAGAACCAAATGACTTTACACAAGTAAAATTTGAGGGTATTTCAGGGAGGATTTCTGTTTAGGCAGGAACAGCTGTGCTGCTTGACCTGTC